ATTTAATTTATTATTTTGTAGCTCAGTTCTGATTGTAAATATGAAAAACATCATGTTGCTTTTTTTCTAAACTACCGGTTGATATATTGTAAGTTTAGAAAGTTTCACATGAGGAATTTTATTGATTCTAGCTAAAACAGCTTTACTGCAATACATTTTAAAAATTATTGAATAAATTTCTAATGTCTAAAAGTCTCAAAGGCCGTCTTTTTAAAATATTTCAAACCTCAAGTTTTTTCGACGCGTTTGAATATGGTTAAGAAACGTGACCGATGAACAAAGAAATTTGCAGGTTTTCTCCAGTGATTTGTGATTTGTGATTTGTGATTTGCGGAAACTCAGTTATCAAGACAAGATTTAATTTTTCCTTAAAGGAAATCGATCGATTTGCAATAGGTCCGGGTAATATAAGCTTTTAATTAGCTTTCATTAATATCCATGGTGTCATCTTGTTTGTCAAGTTCAACATCCTGTTCTATAATTGCAGGTTCCTTCTTAACTGCGGGTTGAAAAGTATATTAAATGGAACGTTGTCTTTCAGAGAAACTACCGGTCTACATAAGTTTATAAGACATGAAAGCTGGAAGCTGTATATTTATTCGCCCATAACAAACATATATTATGGCTAGGGGCATTGCTGACCTGTTTTCAGTTGTTTTCCGATGCGTTTGTGAAAATCCGCCTTTAAAGAAGAAAAGCGGCCAGAGCTGTCATTCAACTCGACATAACCGTTTGACAACTAGAACCATACTAATAGGGATGCTATTGTTTCAGTTACATGCTTTTGTCTTGTTTTCGCGCCGAGTCTTTTGTTGTGTATATTTGTTCGTTTCTAATTTATTTATTCTAATCACTTTTTATTGAAATCCACATTTTGAAGTTAATAGTTTATATTTTTTACTGTTAGTTTCCTTGTACTAAAGGTTGTCGGCAACTTTTCGTCAATTGAAACCTTTCGTTTTCAGGTTTGCTTTATGCGTTAATTACAAAAGCGATCATCCCCCCGCGCGGGCGCCTTTCAAATAGTTTTGATCATGAAATATCTGATCAAATTTCCCACTATGGGATCCTATGGGATCCGACTACACGGTCAAATGTCCTACTGCGGTTCGCGGGGCTGAACAGTCAAATACCCCTCAATACGGACGAGAAGCTTAAGCCTGCCTACCGTTCTTTATTGGGAAATAAAATAATACAAATACAAACGTACATCAAATTTTTGATCAATTTGCCCAATTTTAATAGCACAGTAGAACCCCGCTAACTCGAACTCCCAAGATAAACAGAAAAGTAGTTCGAGATAGCGTGGGTTCGAGTTAGCCGATAGTAAATGACTGAAAGACAAGGGCAAGGGGAATGGGTTTGAGTTCGAGATAGCGGGGAGTTCGTGTTAACCGAGTTCGAGTTATAGTTGAGTTCTACTATACTCCTTTTTATAAACAATACAAAACGAAACACAATTTGCAACGTGTTGTTTGTACGATCGTCTGGGTATTTTTACGAGTCAATTTTTTTTAACTTTTCGAGCCTTTAGGCGAGAAAAAAAAAAGAAAACTGACAGGTAAAAATGCCCAGCCGTATAATACAACTTCCCGGTTAACAAAATATTGATCATTGTTTATCGTACCGAAACTCGAGGCTTTTTAAAAACAAAAAAAGGCCGGGGTATAGATGTACACGGACTAGGTTTTTAACAGCTGTTTTCATAGTTGCATTCGTTTTGGTGCGTATTCGATTCGCACTCTAAAATGCTATGTCGTATAATAACACTCGCGCAAAGTCAAAACCCTTAGTAGTAATTACAGTAAGTTTCATCTCTAATTGTCTTTCAAAGTGTTATTTTTCACAGATATTATTGAAGACACTGAAGATGGGAGATGTATTGATGAAAACCGCAAATAACTGAAATAATCGTAAAAGTCGATCTGAGATATTAACAAGAAAGCTATTCTAACTTATTTAATTTTTATGTTATATTTTGTTTTGTAATTTGCAACCAGTTTTCTGTCAAAAAAACGTCCGTCACATTGGCTTTTAGCTGTTGTTTAATCAATTTTACGTCCTCATTTGTCTCTATCAACATTAGTTTAATGTTATTATTTAGCCGCTATGCAATAAAACGACGGGAAAATACAGCCGTTTTCATTTATCGCTGTAAACCATAATTTATTAAGTCAGGGAGCGGAGCAAATAAATGTACGAGGATAGAGTGAAAAACGTTTTTATTGAACATTATGCAAATACATGCAAAAGACTGAAGGGTTAGTAAAGAGACATATCAATACAGAAATGGCATCTGTCTTCGTATTCCCGTGTAGCGCGGTTATCATTTGTTTCTGACAGGCGTTATGTAAACTAAAGAGCAATGAATTAATATATAATGAATAATTGATTACCAGTGCGTAATAACAAGATGAGTCTAAGTGTTTGTATTTTTTTTCGGAATTGAGATTTAATGATGAAAAACGCAAATAAATGAAAGGATCGTAAAAGTTGAACTGAGATATTAACGCGAAAACTATGTTTTTATGTGATATTGTGTTTTTGTAATTTGCAACCAGTTTTCTGTCAAAAAGCATCTGTCACTTAGGCTTTTAGCTAGCTGTTGTTTACTCAATTTTAGGTCATAATTTGTCTCGCTCAACATTGGTTTAATATGTTTTTCTTTAGCCGTTTTGTATGAAATAAAACAACATCGAAAAATACAGCCGTTTTCATTTATCGGTGTAAACCACTTATATTAAGCCAGGGATGGACTGAACAAAAAAAATGTACGAGACTAGAGTGAAAAACGTTTTTACTGAATATATGCAACTACGTGCAAACGACTCAATATATGAGTGACATATGTCTTCATATTCCCGTGGACGTGGTTATCATTTGTTTCGCACAGGCGTTAAGTAAACGTAAGAGCTATGAATTAATATATAATGAATAATTGATTACCAGTAGTAAAAAACGTTCACCGTTTTGTCCATATAACAGCTGCATGTGTGCGATATAATTAGTATATTTCAACTCACGCCCTTGTAGCGAGTGAACTGTGCAATATAACTGAAACCGCCGTACAAAGATCACTTCGCTCTAAATGAGAAATTAAGCTGCCCTGACGAGCTTCCAGTAATGAAAGGCCGTCCATTCCCAGCGCTGTCTTCGCTGTTCGTGTTTGTTCTTTGGGGAGGCTGGCTTCACTGCCCCACTGTTGCTAATGGCCATGGTGAGTAAACTGTCTTTACTAGTCTTGTCACTTCAGTAAGTTAAGGGCTTCATTCAGAACGGCTTTTTGTCAACTGGTACGTTTGAAAAAATTCCGGAGAAAATGCCTTTGCTGAAGAAACGTTTGGTTCGTTTAAAAATGACAACTATTGCGGTATATATTTGAGTTTATTCTCACTTATTTTGGCGAGTACTAAAGTAAAAAATTCGCGAAATTAAATACCTGCGTAAAAAAGGTGCTGCGAAAATTGAACTCCCGAAATTAAATACCCAATTGACACTGATATTCGTAAAGAGGTCCTTTGTAAATACGTTTTTGGAGCAGTTTTAATTTCCTTAACAAGGAAGCAGTCATGTTGAACTGAAAACAAAACCTGACTGAACTGAGCATTGTTCGTGTGAAGTTAACCAAAATTGATAAGACGTACTTGTAAAGTGCTTTGTTACTTGTTTTGTTCTGCGTACTGGTGCTTTCTCAAATTATAATTAACGTTAAATGACGATTAAAATATGCGACATTTTAGTGAAATTTATACCCTTTGGGTCAATTTTTTACGTAAAATTGCGAAAATTATACTATCCGCAAAATATGGCTCTGTCATGTACGCGCGAAATTAGTGAGAATTCTCCCGATTTTAGGTGGCCCGCGGTTATTTATTGGAACGGAGGTTCCCTTTTATAAAATTAATTTTCGGCATGAAAGCGTCATCCGATTTCTGTAATTTTGGTATTCAAAATAAGGAATCTTCAAATTTTATAAGGCTTTTAATTTTAGGGCAAACGAAATTTAAGATTTAGAGATACAAGCGCTATTAGAAAACCTTGTTTTTTTACGAAATCGCGAATATTTTGATAAAACGAAGATATATTTTTTCTTATTACCTTCAATAAGTTCCAAGACTTCAATGTTTGCTGTGAGCAAGTTTCCACAAAATCGGCTGCATAGAAATTGATGCATAGTTGACTGCTGAATTTTAGCTTCAAAATAATATGCTCGTGTATTGTCTTCAGCTGTTGCAAGAACGTTTCAATAATGCTAAGATCACACCTATATACATTGTTAGAAAGCTTGATACCACCTAAACCTTTGCTGAATAATCGGAAAAGATCGGAAATTTCCAGTAAAAGCTATGAGCAAATGAATAACAATATGTTTATAGTGCTTAATTTGTGAATTTCAAAATATTCACGTTTGTTCGACTTGCAAAAAAACTACCGATTTGTTGTCCGTAATTTTCAAGTATGATAAAATCCAACATATATAAAAACGACCTCGTCTAGTTTTGGACGTGTAGCCTCGACGAAGCTCGGCGAATTTAGGTCGCCAAGTTAGCTACTTCATGTCTTCCATTTTACAAATGCTTTGGAAACCCCTGGTCCAATTTGCCGCGTTGTGGGATTTATTTGTCACTTGAGAATTTTACGGATCATCGAAAATTTAAATGACAATGAACGATCAATGACATTCCAAGAAAATTGAAGATTCCTTATTTTGAATACCAAAAATTACAGAAATAGGATGACGCTTTCATGCCGAAAATTAATTTTATAAAAGGGAACCTCCGCTCCAATAAATAACCGCGGGCCACCTTGAAATAAATATATATATATATATTTTATCAAGCTATATTCTTTTCTGGATAAAAATGCCTTCGGGCAGCTTTTCAATCGAATCATGGGCTCAATCTTCATCGGTATAACCTGATAAAACTTCTAAACTAAAAACTGTGAGAAAGATGTTAATCCGTCAGTGACACAAGCGAATAGGAAAAAAAAATTCCGAGTTCTCCCAACAGGAATCGAACCTTTGAACTTCCGAACACCTGTCAGACGCTCCACCTCTGAGCTACAGTGCTTCTTTTAGGCAAACAAATTCACGCTGATTATTATTCGCTGTAGCAAAGTCCAACACCAAAATGTTTTTCGGATTGTACTACGTCGGAGATCAACGACGATCGAATTTTCTTAACTGAAAAACTGGGCACCTCAGGGTCTAACAGTCAAGACAATACAATACGATCAACATAATTTTGTTTTTAAAACTAAAGTCTGGCAAGCGTATTATAAAGAATCTGATATATATCCCTTAGCATTTTTCAGAAAGTTGCAAGAAACTAACGTTTTTTTTGGCTCGGTCGTTTGCCAATATTATGCGTGCCTTGAATTTCTAAATTATCCGGCTACTTTCTCAAAACGTCTATATTTTTCGGTACTACTAATAAAGACCAACTATGCTTTTTACGTATTTAAATAATTCAGGTAAAGCTTGTGAAATTCTAAGAGTTCAATTTTGGAGAAACTACATTTTCTCTCAGTATACGTTTCGAAGCTGCATCTTTTATTATCCGGCGGCAAGTATGATTTTTAACTCACTGAAGCTGGGGAAAGGAGGGAGCTATGTTAAGGCGCAGTGTCATGTTTTAGTTACATGCTGACTGATATATTCACCGTCAATAAAACATTTCTAGACGAGCGTCATATGATATTGTTTGAATAAACCGTCAATTTCATCATGTTTACTCTACGTTCTCTTATTTCTCATTACTCATTCAGTGTTGTGAGAAAGCGATTGTGGCCGACGTTACAGACGGCACGCGAAAACTTACAATTCACACTAAAACCGCGATGGCAGGGGCTTAATAAAGGGAGGAGGCTTGTTAACATTTTTATCTCTGAAAAGAGGGTTATTATAATACAGAGGATATTAATAGAGGAAATATGGTAAGTGCTTTTATTCGTTTAATTAGTCCCTCTAATTTGCTGTCAAGACTTTTCTTGTTTTAAGATCCGTCTCTGAATCAATTGTATATATTTGGATAAAAACGAAAATAATTCAGTAAAATAAAACTGAATAAATAAACGACTTTGTTTAACAAGGGTTCCTACAACTGACAAACCTGTGGCTTTCAAATTCCATATCGAAGGAATTAAGTATTAGTTAAGTATTCTATTTAGTTAATTAGGTAATTTTAGATTATTTTAATTTTTCAGTGTACCGTATTTTTAGTAGGACCCCTCTGTAAATCACCTTACGGTGACGTTGGTATCCTAATAAAATATTATTATTATTAATGCTATTTTTTTGTGGAGGGAGGAAAACTGGAATGCCCAAATAAAAACCCTAGGTTATATTAAGACGGATTCCGCCCAACGTTCGAGCATAATAAGATTAATAAAAATATAATTTGTATATATGTGGTAACAACATTGTTGCTCTATGATTTACTTTTTGATAATATTATTACTTGGCTTTTCAGCCCACGCTGTCATTACATTGTCCATCTTGTGATGGCTGTCATGCGCACCCACGTTGTAATGGCAGTCATATCCTTAACTTTCCCAAAGCTTTCCAAATTCCCTTGTTCTCTTTATATCCCTTCAAGATCTTTTGAGAAGCAAATGAGTACAACTCATTCCCCTGGAACATTACATGTGTTCAACAGTCAAATAATGGAAACTATGGATGGTCTAAAAGTGTTAGTGTCTTTTTTATTGTCCTTTTTTTTTATACAGTTCAAAGTAAGGCTTTTTCAAAACATTGATATGTCAAACCTTTTTGCTTCTATTCTAGTCCTAACATGTGTTGTTGTCACACTCATTTCCCTGCTTTTCTGGAAAGTAGTGTACATAACTGTTTTAAGGCTTACATTAAAGTACAATACAACATTAAATTGTTTGCTGGAGATGCTCTTATTTCCTGCTGTTATTATTTTGAAGTTATTTTTATCCCTGCTTGATCCAGTTTACAACATTTTATTACGCATCAGGCCACAAATCAAATTTTCATTGGTAAATCACTTTTGGAGCATAACATCAAAGTTCTTTATTTCCAGTCTCATGACTGTATGCCTTTTTGTTTTTCATGGCATTTTCTTAAACCTTGGCGCAATGCATAATTTGGACTGTGAGCTTTATTCTGCTTCAGTGTACTTAGGATTTGTTGCATTTATTCTGACCATATCAGTCCTACCATATCCATTCCTTGTGGGCTCATATGTAGCTATAGTCATGACAATGGGGGAAAACTTTGATGCTAGCTCCAGGCACTGTTCAGAAATACCACTGGTTTTCCCAATGTTGTATCTTTTCTTCGGTGTACTGTTGAGCTACCCTTGTGTGCAAATGGTTGAATTACACCACCCAGGCTTTTTGTTCAGTATGTTGATTAGATCAAAAAGGTTTGTTTCAACCATTTTAATAATTGACATAACAGGCAAAGCACACACATTCTCTTTTGCACCATATGCCACCATAAAGGATTTGAGATCTCAATTAAACACCAAATTCAAGCTAACAAGTGATTTATACTGGCTGTCATGCTCTGGCAAGCCTTTACATGATTTTGTACCATTGGAAGAAATAACTGGAACAGTTATTATGAATGGACGGTTGATCGGAGGTATACAATGCTGTTTGAACGGTTGTGAGAATGAGGCAGGTTCTCGTAAATTTGATAGCATGATTGGGCAGTATGAAATGAAATGTACCCCTCATGACATAACATCTGATTTTGAAAGTCTTCAAAATTGTAGAGTGTGTGATAAACATTACAGCAGTTTATCATCCAGAGGGCACAAGCCTGCAAAAGGAAAAAGTTCTTCAAAATCACGCAGTGATGCCCAGCGAGGTATTCTTAAGACCACACCATCCATTGTTACATGTTCACAATGCAACAATAAGGTCTGCCTTACCAGTGACATCCCCTGCAAAAAACATAACATAAGTATTTTCAACAACCTGTTTTCAGTGGCTTGCAACTTTTTAGATGAAATACATGTAAATGATACTAAAGTACATGTAGATTTACACAATGACTTGTATACATGTATAGATCCTAGTGATGGGCCTAGTATAGACTACATATGTATGTCATGCCAACCATTCTTTTTAAAATCAATTAAATTAGAGAATGACTACAAAAAAGAAGTCAAAAACATGTTTCAAGAAAGACAAGCAGGATGTTCAACATCCACAACCCAGTCTCATCTGGATATTACACAGAAACATGGTTCTTGTGAAGACTTTAACTCAATCTCTAGTACTTTTGATTCTGATGTTGATATGCATGTACCAGAAGACATACATGTAAACTTCTCCAAGAAAGCACAGAGAGTGTCTGATGCTTCAAGCCTAAAAGGAGGTATTTTCCAAGAAGTGTTAATTGACCTTGTGCAAAAAAATTCCTGCATAATGGAAATTAATAATTGTACATACCGAATATCTGGGATTGTTTATCTGAAATCTCATCACTACTGGTGTGAAGTCTATTCAACTCAAAAAAAAGTTAAAAGCGGCTGGTTTGTCTACAATGGTTTGTGGAATAATGGAAAAGCAACCTTTGTTGGTCCAAGACCATTATTTCTGGAAAAGGAGAGTTTATATTTACTGATGTTTGAAAAAATAATGACTAACCATAGTACAAACAAACCCGGTGTTTCAACAACATTCTATAAGCCAATTCATGCCAATAACAATGACATTATCAAAGACATTATATATAAGCATAAAACCATGCTATCTTTATCTGACAACAAAGTCAAACTTGACAACATTAAAGCAATTCTCCTCTATCATAACATTTCTATACCACCAAACATGAAACTAGCTGACTTGAAGGATCTCTTGCTGCATCATTGTAACACAACTATGACTATGCCCATAACTTTTGTGTCAGATTGTAGCATTGAAAATTATACTGTGGCTCCTGAGAAGGACCACTCAATCAAACACGAACAAACTACATGTGTACCTGTAACTTTTATAAATGATTCAATGATAAATTTAGTGAAAACACAGGAAACAATGAAGGATGACTGCTATTTCGAAACTGAAAGCTTCAAGCGGTCTGATTTAACTCCACATAAGCAAGGATATACACCAGAAAGGCATCCAACAAAGAAACAAAAAGCTTGGAAATCAATAACAAGTCTTGAAGCGAATGATTCACATACAAGCTGGACAGATAAAAGCCTTTCTATTAAGGAACCAAAAAGCAAATCCTTTAAAGAAATTGTTGATGCTATCCATAAAACCACTATTGACTCTAGTGACAGTGATGATGATTTTGATGAAGCATTCAAACCATTAGACAATACAGATTTGTACTTTAGTACACTTGATGAACCAACAGAAAATGAAAAACAATCTATGCAGCCTAAATATTTTATGTCTGATTCATTTGATGACTCGCACGACTTTCAAATGGTTCGAACGGTAGATCTTTGGGAATATAAAGAATTTGACAGGTCACTAACACCAAAATCTGGAAATAACCATCATCATCTTGAACAAGTCAGGCGTTTCATTTTGAAAAATGGTTTTCAGGAACCAATAATTATCACATGTGATCTCCAAACTGGAAAAGCCTATGTCACTGAAGGAATCCATCGTCTATGGGTGGCTCTCAAGGAAGGAATACCATTTATACCATGTCGTGTAATTAATCACTGGTTGCCACCCTATGGCTCGTACAAAAAGCTTGATATTGACTTTTCCACTTTAAAGTGTAAGGAAATAATTCTTCCAGAACATTTGGGATTAACTGTTGCACAAACAGGGTTCAATAACTAATATTATTAGTACAGTGTTCAAGTGCATGCCCCAAAGCACTTGTCTTACACACTATACCTACAGGTGTGTATATATATATATATTTGTATATATATAGCTTACATGTAAATGAAATATTAATTATTAACTGAAATGTAGATGACATCTAATAAAATTTAGATCGTTAATCAACCACACCAGCCAAAACTGTTTGATTTTGGCATAATTTAGAAGGGAGAAAGTAAACCTAACAGTCTAATCATATTATAGACCTGTCTCAGAACCAAAACTATAAACAGACT